ACACACACACACACACACACACACACACACACACACACACACACACAAACACACGCACTTGCACGTGTCGTCTTTTCTGTATAAGACGCTACTATATTATATATTGTATATTATATATATGTATTACTTAAGAATATAATGACGTAATTTAATCTGAGTTGGGAGGCCTGGAGACCTAAAATCTTCGATCGAGCATAAAATACAAATCCTTGATTTAGTTTAGGCTTCAGCTTTCCACAAATGTACTTTGTTCTGTAAAATATTTACTAAGATTTTCAAAAGTACCTTTTTGGTACTATTGTGGAAGGAGAAATAAACGATTATTGTATTTTTTTAAGTTGATTGTTATGTTGAGACAATATGTCAGATCATTACGTTGATAAAATAAAATTGGTTAGATCTCTTTTCGTAACAAAACAACAGGCACATTATGAAACTACTTTACAGTGGTTGCCTGTCTAACTTGTGAGTATTTTTTTCCTTCCTCTAGGTAATATATACGTTTGTTTTTCTAAAATGATACCATCTTTACAGATTATAAGTTTTTTTTACAAAAGAGAATACAATTGTTATCTACAAATGCACCTTTGTTAACGTTTGATAAAAGATTATCTACATGTTTTTTTTTTTAAATTTTTACTATAAAAATAGCTGAAGATAATTGTGGTAGTGCTATTTTAAACATATTTGCAACCTTTCTGTCGTTTTACTATTTTTCGCCTTTGTACATTTCAGACGCCAGGCGGAGAACGCTGGTACTCAGACAGCATCAAACTAACCTACAATTCGAGTGCAAGAATCCTGGAACACGCAGCAAAGCAAGGTCGAAGAGTTACACTAAGCACTGGAAACAGAGCGTTGTTATTCCCAACACCGGTGGGAAAATCCTTTTATTGCCCTGAAGAAACCATTGTAGAGCTGGCTGAAGATGAAAGTGGGTAAGTAAACTTATCAATAATCGATACCACAGTCCGTAATACACACGAAAGAAAAAAACACAATGGAAGTTCCTTTAGCCTCGATTACAATCGGAACCGACCTAGCCAAACTGCACACAAAGCAAAATGATAAACACTATGAAGTCTCGATAATGATTGTTCCTAGTTACTAATTTAAAAATGTGTAACAAATTCTGGATTGTTAATATAATTTAAACTTTACACAGTCGCTATATCGTTGAAAGTTCAATGCATTTATTGCAACTTACGATGTTTTTCTACAGTTTTAGAGAATTTGCGCTAAAGAATGACAAAACCATACAAAGCGAACAAGGCGGACTGAGCTCATCTTTCGAGACCTATACTTGTTGGCGTCAGACGCTAACTAACCACTTCTACTGTATTTACCGTTCTGTCATCTATGAAATCTCGATAACGATTGGTCGTAGTTTCCAATTTGAAGCGTTCATCAATGTGCTGTCATTTAGCGGTCAACAGCTGAATGACGGCAAATACGACATGTTTGGCTCACTCCCTCTTACTTAATAAATTTGAACGGCTCCAAAATATATGTGTATAATTTAACTTCAGACTTCGTAAGTTTGACCATGTGTCTCAGTTTTGCGCACAACTTAAATGGCTGCCCGTGCACTGGCGTAGAAACCGTCACACACTTTCCCTTCTTTACTGTGCTTTATTCTATCCCTTTACGCCTCTTTACTTTAAAGAACGTTTTACTTTGCATTCTACGCTCTGCCGTCCTCTTCGATCCTCTGATACACTCGTACTAAACTTGCCTCTTCTCATGCCCCCATATTTACTCCATCTCTTTTGTTGTATCTGCTATCCGGCTTTGGAATTCTCTCCCTCCCTCCCAATCAATTCGACGATCCCGTTCTCTTGATTCCTTCAAACGACGTGTTAAGGAACATTTCCTTAACATGTATAAGTGATATAATTTTCCTTTGTTAATTTATTTCTTATTATTACTATATAATATAATTTATTTTATTGTCCTACAAAAGTATACAAGTTACCTTATTATTATGTATTAATATTTATGTATACGTTCTAATAATATATGTATTTATTATTATTATTTATATATTTACTTTATTGATGAGTTTTTTGTAAAACGCTTTCATTACAAGATCTTCTTTGGTTGCACACCTTTTTCTAACTCTTAAATTTCTATCCTAAGGTAGTCTGGAAGAAATTGCTACTTAGCAATAAGGCCGCTTGTTGTACACACGCCAGCACATCAAGCTACACATTAACGTATCTTGTTCCGTTGCAATGGAGGCGATTTTCAAACAAAATTATGTAGTCTGATGTGCCGTCGTCCGTACATCGGCTTACTCTGTGATATTTACATGACTGCTTTGTGTTATTATTGTAATTTTAATGTGCAATAAAGAGTATTTCATTTATTCATTCCCTCTTAGTGTATTAAGAATGTAACATCATATAAAATTGCATTAAGCCGGTAATAGAAAGGTTTGTGTCCATGTGAAGAAGACGTCAGGCGTTCGTTCCGCGTTTGCGGTCCGAGCGGAAAGCTCTCTCTAAAACTTTGTGTTTATGTAGTTTTCTCACTGCCTATCATTTTTAGTCAAAAATCAAAGAGACAAGGCCACGGTCCCGTTCGGATAATTATCATGTTGAAAATAAATATTTTGGTTATCATGATTATTATATAACATTTTAATATGTTGATGGTTTTCTAGAATAGTGACTTATTTCAAAATCAGCCTAATTCATCAGGAAGATGGTTTAGAAAGAACTGAAGCATGTATAACGTGCAGAGGCGACCAACCGTACACCTCCACGCTGTCACTTGTTTATTTTAATCAATAAAAAGCTTGGTGTGTTTTTTTCACAATAAAATTTAGCACATTCTGAATGCAGATGTTATTAGATGTTATTAGACCAGTAGGATTTATTTTGATTTGAGTCACTTCTCGAAAAGCAGCGATGTGTACTTCAAAATGTACTGCCTCTCTACGCAGTCTACTACGCAGGGTTCCTGGGTTCGATTCCCGGGCCGGGAGAAATATTTGTATTTGTTTGGCCTACGTTTATTTATTTTATGAGATTGGGTGTAATTTGTCGATGTCCATGTATCCATGGCACCCGCGAGGATTTCCCTAGTCTATGAGTGTGTGCGCTATTTATTTTATTTATATTAAATTTCAGTTCAACCGCAGGCCACCGCGCCAAACTCTACCTCCGCCAAATGCGTCTCCAGGCCTTTATGTACAAAAAGGGTGGCGAATTTGGCCCACCCTGGCACTGCTCCGATTCTTCTCGAGCCCGCTCCGAAACGGCCCCCGTTGCTGTAGGAGCAGCCCTAGCGATAGCCACCGCTGGTACCCTGGTAGGTTATGCGATATGGCGCTACTTGAAAGTGAAGAAAGTACAATACGATACTATGGAGTAAAGAATTCACGTACGTTCTGAATTCGCTTTTAATTTATTTGACATAGACGCCTCGAAAATGTAAAAAATTGATCCGCAAATAAAATGTGGTAAAATTTTAAACTAAAGTCCGTACAGATAAGGAATAGCTATGCTATTCCTGATCCTTAAACTTCTTAATTGATCTGGAATAACGTAATGCAACATGTTCGATCATAGGGCGACTCTAGAAAACAAATTGCTTTTTTTTTATTTCATTGCGCAAAAGTTTTACTTTGTTAAAAAAAACAAAAGCTTTTGATATTAGATATTTGTAATTTTTAGGAGTTCAGAACGAGTTTTTAACTAAATTAACGGAGATCTCAAAATGTATGCCAATGACGATAAGATTTTCTTAGAGCGGTAGATGAAATATCTACTTTAAAAGTGATAATCACACATCGGACATCTTAAAATATAATTTTTTTGTTACTCAACGCAAATGCAGATCCAGTTTTTATAAATTAGCTTTTTGTCTTTATTTGTATTTGAATTTCAAACTTTTTCTGAGTTTTGAATTTCGAACCCAAAACTCGGATACAAAAATAGGCAAAGTATTCGTCGATGAAAATGAGTAACTCTTCTTTTATAGTCTTGTTAATAATGTGTGAAATTGCCAATCTCGACTCGTATCACTTTTAAAGCAGATATGAGAAAAGTTGTTATCAGTATATTGTGACTTTACGAATCAGTGAGATAATTATAATTTTCGGTTTAATGTACGACCAGTTTCAAGCGTTTTTAGTATAGAAACAACAAAAAGTTTGGTCATTTTAAAGAATACCGGGAATAAATATATAAAGTTATATAATTGTGTTCTGCACATATCTAAACCCATATGATATTCTTGAAATTATTGTTATCCTTTTCTATTATCTATTAGTAGAAAAGGGAAAAATAAATTTCTTAATGCTGTTAAAATTAGTACAGAATCAGAGGATTGGTATCACCAACAAATTCATTACGGGCAGTGACAAATATCGGTAATATTATTTTAAAAAGAACAAAAACAACAAAAGTTTGTCGAATCGAAACCCTATTTATTAGTGATTCTAAAACAGTAATATCAATTTTATTTTAGAAAAAAATAATTAACAGTACTTATATAATAATTGTTCAAAAAATGTTGTTGATGGTTGATAATGATGTAAAAAAAATGTATTTAATCCTCATATAACCCCAAAATATTCCATAGGCTAGAGTTTTATATTTCCCCCTTAAAATTTATTAATTAATTATTAAGAAAATTGGCTTACAATTATTCGGAAAAATCTTCAAATATTACAATTATAGCATACGGTTTAAGAATGAATGATATTTTTGTTACTTTAGGCGAGTATAACCATTTAGGAATAAATAAATCTATGTGTCACTCAGAGATATAATTATTACGTATATAGATGTGGATTAATACTGTACATAACATAGACAAAATACACAGGTTGTTTTGTTAAGATTCATCATTTATCGTGGTGCTTCTTGTAATTTTTTTTGTGTGTCTTATAAACTTGGCAACATTATTATTAATTGAGAACAGACATCACTATAAAATAAACTTGGCGACATTGCTATTTAAGTGACACTAGAATGTGTTGTTCTTATAATTATTTTAGATTTTTAGTCGCTTGGGCAGTTTAATTTTTACAGTTTTCTCTACGACAAATCTGTAAGACAACACTACTACGGTCTATGGTCGTTCCTTATTTGTCTATCCACACTCAAATCCATTCGATTTATGGCACATATTTATTAGTTTTGACTTAAAGTACATTCATTCAGTCATTCGGAATTTGAAATGAATATAAATTACGGCCATCTTGATTTACTGATTCGAATGTCATTAAGTAAGATGTCATTAATAAGTAAGGAGTGGAATTCCTTGCATGTGGATTTGTTTCTTCAATGCTATAACTTGGGCCTTTTCAAAGCGAGAGTGAATAGGCATTTAGGTGTGCTCCATCATCGGCCTCATCATCATTTTCCATCATGTGAGATGGAGGTGCGTATTTACGCACTTATTCTATCGTAAAATAAGAGATTTTAAGGAACTCCCAAAAGCTGGGGAACAGATTTTGTATTACAGATGACTAAGCAAATAAAAATCTAAAATAATTATAAGAACAACACCTTTAGTGGAAGATATACTATTTGCTAGATATACTTATATATATATATATATATATATATATATATATATATATATAATATTTGCTAGATAAATTAGATATACTATATGATATATTATTTTATTATTATATTATAGATATACTATTTCTCTTGGAATGCCTTATCCTTTCCATTATTTCCATTATTACTTATTTTACTCAAAGTGTAGGTACATGGGCTTGATGATCTTAGTCTATCATACGAATCATGGGTGCACTATATGCTTTATCAAAATCTCTTTAATCTTTTTAAACCTGTAACCACTTCGTAAAATACTCACTGCCAACTCTTTTCTTACTAATGCAACAAAGTTAGTTCCGCATAAAAATGATTAAGTCTAGAATTAAGTGCCAATGCGTAAAAGTGTGTAAGTTTTATGCACTATAAAGATGGCACGCGCGTTACCGAGAAGGCTCACTCTTTTATCCCTATTGTATTCTAAATATGAAGCCATAATACGAATCGATGCAAATAATATTTCGCAAACTATACCAATGTCGCTTATATAATAATGTCGTTAAGTTTATGGTAAAGTGATGCTTTTTGTTCTCTGTGATTGAATAATAATGTTGCCAAATTTATAATACACATTGAAAGAAATTTCAAGAAGTCTCACGATAAAATATGATGGATCCTAGTTCATAAGCTCCTGAAATTTTATATTACTCCTTTGAAACACCCTGTTTGTATCAGTAGTTTATAAATATAAGGAAGAAAGACAGTTATGTGAGACATATTAATTATTTACAGACAAGTAATAATGCTCTTCATATTTAATAAATAATTGTATAATTTGTAGCCGCACCTGAGTGACATAAAGAAAAAATCATCACGGTTAATTATATCATTAGATTGTCATATACATATCAAATGATAATAATATATATATGTATAATTTACTGACAATCATTATTGTAAAATAATATTCTTAAGTTAGGTACTGGTAATATTAGAAGGATGGGTAAACATTGAAACTTAGGCATATTAATTATGGTTCATTATCCAATCCAAAATGACCTGATCAGCATAAGGACTAGATCGCAAAACGGCCACCTCTGTAGAAAGACTATAACTTAGTTATTATAACATATTTGGAATGAACGATGTAATGTTGGACTTCCACTTCTCTCTAGAAAACTTCGATAACTTAAAACCTAGGGAAAAAAGTTTACCCATTTTCTGATATTACTGCTGACAAAAAAATATTTTATTTTAGATGGTTTGCGGTGTAGTAGACATTTTATATATCGAGATATTACGTGTACAAGCAATAAGTAAGTTTTTATTGGATGCCGTCTTAAATGACACAAATGGCTGACATTGATGTTGTATTGTGCGCAAGATATCTGTTACTAGTGTTGGATTTTATTGTTTAAGGCTCTTTCTAGACTGATCGTAGAAGAATCGTAGCTTGATGATACATTTTGTATAGACATTGGATCACCTAGAAGGAAAGGTTTTGTACGAAATAAGGAGTTAAGATTGATTGTGATTGGTTTATGATAGAAGAACTGCATATGTAGAACATATATTCTTTACTTGGTAGCCCCTTAGCCTACGGAGACATGTTGGCTCTTTGTGCGTGTTCTACCGTCTTTATAATGGGGAGTGCCCCGTGCAACTTTTTGAACTGGTGCCACCGTCTCGTTTCCACCATCGCACCTCCCGCCGTAGGAGTAGAGCCGTTCGTTCCTTCCTCGAAGCTTTAAGATGTTGACCTTTGCGCTATGACATGGGGTTCTTCAAAAAACATGTTTACAGGGCTCTCAAAGGTTGGTAATGCATTCGCAGCTCATCTGATCTTGCAAATGTCCATGGGTGACGATCAAGTGGCTCGTCTCCTCGTATCTTTACATAAAAAAGTTGTCTTCAGTTTACACTACATTTATTCACGAAATTCGTCAAGTAATAAGAGGGGATCAATGTTAACTATAAACATCATCGTCTCCGAACGGAGAATTTTGATTACATGGTATATATACATTTGCATAGAATTGTTTCTAGCTCTGCCGGAGTTCGAGGAAAGAGGTCCTTCTACGATCTGGCATATGACTCATTATTATTATAATAGATACTAGATGTAGATAAGAATGTTCTGTCTGAAAAAAAATCCTGTTTCTATTTTAACTTTTTAACATAATATACAGGCCTAATATAATAAAATAATTCATTATTAGGGAAATGTTTTAAGGGTTCCTAAACAAAACGTTTTTAATCAGACATTATTGTATGGGGATCTAATTACTTTTTAAGTTTTCTGGATGATTAGGAAATGAAACTATTATTTCAGATCTAAGTCGCGTATATTTGTTTAAGTCAGTTAACCGTGACTATGGGGACCTGTAAAAGGCGCGAAATGTTGGTTTGTTTGAAAAAACAAATGTACGCGATTTACATCCGAAAAAATAGTCTATATTACAAAACTAATTACTTTTTACCATTGACTTACAATTATATGGACGTCGGGTCCGCGCTAAAAAGTGTCCGCACTTGTAAGGCGCTAAAATCGTATACAGAGCGCGACACTCCGCTTTAGTCTTCATTTGTTCTACGGACAGCGCGATACTGCGATGACATAACAATTTAAATTTCGAATAGGTTGACTTGGGACATTTTTTTCGTGGTTTTTGTATTAGACCCGTCGTCCATTTATTTGTAAGTCAATGCTTTTTACAAATACACAATTATTTAGTTATTAAAGAGATTTGTTATTATTTGCATTTAAAATTACCAGCTAAAACGTGACACAAATTTTCAATCGCACTTTGAACAATAGCTTTTTCGTTGTCGTTTTTCGCAGAACTTTCATTATGTAGAATAGTTGACCAGGACAACTTTACGAATACCTACTTAGTAAAGCCTAACTATTGAATATTTATAAACGATAGTAGATTTAAAGATTCACCATGAATATGTCTTTGTCTGTAGTCGGATTTTTTATTAGATATAGTAAACTGACGAGTTCTTTAAATAATGGATTTCACTGAAAATAACTGAATAGGTATTAAAAAACAATTAAGAACTTGATATAATTTTTATTAAGTAAATGGACTTGCTCTTGACCACTATTAAGACCTGGAGCAAAGATAGGGTCTATTATGGAAAGAGCTCGCCCAGAAGATGCATTCCTGGGCTTTGCATATATTAAACGTTGATAAGAACCGCTTAGTATGCCTGAAGGGAATCCGATTGAGTTGGTGGAGCTCATGGACACACTCATCGAAGTATATTTTGTAGAAATAACTACCAAAAACAATAACAATAATAGGAAAATTTATGTGGTGACTAAATGTAAATTAACTAATTAATTATTATTAATTAATTAATAACTATATCACAGCTTAATAGTAAAATATCTGTAAGTTGATTTATTGATTGATCTATTTCAGTGAGTCGGTTGATACTGGTAACATTGTAATTTCGAAGTGACATTAGTGGCTGTCAGTTC